GTGCAGTGGTGTCTAGCATGAGGGGTTAGCAAAGGTAGTATGGGTATAATGTGAGGGGTGGATGCCTATAAGTGTTAAATGATTTTTTTTATATTAATTATTATGTTTAGTGGATGTGGTTAATAGATATGTGATGTGTGTTTTGGTATTAATCAACTCCAATGATAATATATAACGGTCTGGTAGTATTTATATATTTTGAGAAATATACTTACTTTGCTTTTCTTACTAGGTGTGTCAACTGATTTCACATTTTGTATATATTGAATAATAAATCAAGCCAGTCGAATTTACATTTTTATATCTAATCCCAGATATTTGAGTGTAGTTGTTTTCTGTACACTTTATGTAAGCCGCATTATTGGAATAAATTATCAATTGTCTCTTGGCATAACTAATATATTAATAATTTCTTTTTGGAAGGAATGTTTTTGAATTATATATTTTTTTATTGTGTTTATGGTCGTTCGTGATGGAGTAGATGCAGTCTTTCATTGTGATTGTTTGTTGTTTTGTTGTTAATGTTGTTTGTTGTTATATTTTGTCCTATATTTTGGCTCAGCAGAAGTAGCCGGCTGGACAGTAGTACAGCTGATCAATCCGTTGGCTATTCAAGCCAGCTTGATCCGTTTGTCCTGTCCCTGTTTCCTGTGTATTGGTTCGGTTTTTTGTTTCCCCCTAGTTCTGTAGGTTCTGTGTGTTCTTAATGTGTTAATTATTTTAATTATTTTTGTTTCATAGCTATTCTGTTAAAGGAGTATAGAAATTAGAAACCACTGGGAAGTGTTATCGTTTGTCGTTGATACTTTTTGTCCACTTCGTAATTCTTTAGCTTTGTTGAATTAGAGCGTGGCTCTGAATTGAGGTTATGGTAGTGAGAAGAACACTGCCACTCTTATATTTTACATCTCCGAGACTCTCTTTTGTATAGATTCCTTTTCCTGGTTGATTCCTGACCCTGCACTCCAAACTTTCCTCTCGCCCAGCTGGTAGGTAGGGAGGGAAGGACTCTGTGTTGTGGCTCTCCCGGTCCCTGTGCCCGGTTTATCAGTGAGGTTGTTTGGGGGCTTACCCGCCAGGATGTCGCTGGAAACGAACCTTTCACGCTCTTTGTGTGGTAGAAGCCCTTCTTTGACTGAGCTGCCTCTCTTTTTGACTCTCTTTAATCCTGGAAGCACGCTAAGCTATGTGTTTTTCTGGACCCATCGTATTCTTTTTTACGTCCATATTGTTTCATGTCCTGTGAAACGTGATCTTGCTGCCGACTTGTGTTGATTGGTGTACTGTCGTGGATATTTTCCTAGGTTAGCTCCTTGGGTCATCCGTGGCGCAGGCATATTTTGGCTATTTCTCGTCTGGTATAGATATGTTGCTTCTTTGATTTTTTTTCTATCTAATGGGGTTAGTTGTGGGCGGTAGTTTGTTTGGGTTTAAGTTATGAGGGTCTCCGTGCTTGTTGTTTTGATTGAGCGAAGAGCTTGGCGCTGCTGCCAGTCCTCCGTCTTAAATCCCCTATGAGCATCCAGGTTGGTCAGTCCACCAGGGGTCTGGCATTGCATGGTGTCTTCTGTTCACTATAATTTTATAGCTTCAGTTGATTGGCAAGTGAGTCTGGGGTTCGTGAGGTGGTTGATCTTATAGTCAATTTGTTGGTTTTATCGTTTGGGTTGGTGGGGGTGGTGGGGAGTATGGTTGGTTGGGTGTTACTTTGTGATGATCATTGGGGGTTGTTTATTGTGTTATTTTGGTTCTTTTCCGGTCGTCTCTTTTTGAAGTTTGTGTATAGACAGTTAGAGATTGATTATACATCGTTTTGAACAAAGGGAATAAGATGCTGATAAAGATGGATCAGCTATTAACTAAAGATGGGTTACACACTGTATTTTGATCATGATGTTGAAATATGTCTTCAGGGACTCCTACGATGGGATAGGGGTGGGTTAGCGGAATCACTTAACAACAAGAGGTATGTCTTCAATTGTGCTATTATTCTTATTCTAACCTATATACTTATGTGCGTCTTCTAGTATCGGATGGCATTTTTTTTATCCTTTCGCTTATTACTAGAACATCTACAACTATTCTGAAATTTCAGACCATGTTGATGGAGTGTGGGAGAATGTCGATATATTATGTGCTGTGTTTTTTGAGTTCTATGAGGAATGATATGTAAGTTATTCCTTTATAATTGGATATTGCTTGCCGAATATATGACTTGTTTGGTTTGCAGTTGTGTTGGGGTACCTGTTCCGATAGTCCTTGCCTTCTTTATCTATACACGGAGAGGTTCTTCTTCTTCATGGAGATCCACAGAAGTGAGATCAAGATCTCTTGTTTCTGTCGACTGGTAGAGGATGCGTTGTGTTGGCTCTTGATCTCCTGGGCCCTGTCCTCAGTGATGGATTTAAATGATTTTGTCGATATGTGGATAGATATGGGGTGGGATGGGTAAGTGCTAGGTTGAGAAAACTTTATTTGAGTTCTCT